CTACTCAATTTGCTTGTATTTTTGCAGAATGTAAACATTAAATATTGTAAATAAACATGAACATAAATATGTAAATATGTGCACATGAACATAAATGTAAATAAACAAACATAAACAAAAAAAAACAATGTAAATATTATCGCCCATCTAATCTGCTAAATGCAACTTTAAAGCATGAATATAAATATTAATAATTATATAATTTAAATATTAACATCGTGAATTTCTGTAAAGCTGATTTGAAACAATGTGTATTGTGAAAAGCGTATATCAATAAATTAGACATGACTTTCATATAGGCAAGTTAACAGTCTCACCTGGCGCTGATATAAGGGATGTTGATGATGGGCCGTAGACCAGCAGGAATCTCTTCCTGTCCCTGCAGTTCTGCTGCATGTCTCTCCAGATCCACAGTAAGCACCTGTGGAGAAAAAAAAATCTAATTTTAGCTATTAAGAGAATTTGACAGACTAAAAGCAGTCAGTGACAAACACATATTTATGTAAATGCAACACAAAACCCACCTGATGAATTGCGACACCCAAGCAGTCCAGTATCTTCCAGCCATTTCTTTAAGATCTTTGGCAAGACCAGGTAGAGTGTGTGAAATCAGTTTGTTACACAGAAGGTCTTTGTAGTCCACCAAAATGCTGCCTTTCCTTTCAATCTCATCCTGAGAGATGAAAAAAATCAGAGAAGAATATTTTGTTTTTAAATGAAGAATTCAAATGAGGGAATTAGGGAAAACCATGCTGTGAATTCTGATGCCTTATCATAAAGATCAATCTGCGATGTGAAGTACTGCTCAAACACTTTAATCTTCTCAACATAAGGTGAACTTTCGACAAATCCTGGAGAAGGAACACACACAAATCACAAGAATATTTTAAGACATGTATTTAACAGGTCAATAACAAATGTTTAAAGAAACATAATAGGAAATGTGAAAATATCAAACCTTCAGAAAAATAGAGTCGCCATCCATTGTATGGACACATGATGTCAAGGGTTGCTTGACTCACACGTGCTTCACTTGCCACAACTTGGGGAGTAAATCCTGTGCAACAACAACAACAAAAACCATAAAGCATATAAATAATTGAAAAATAATCAAACAATAGTTTATCAAGTGGGACAGGTTTTCTGCCGGTGTTCTGAAGATTTGTGCTACCCGCTCAGATTGTGCTACCTCCCATTAAAAAGATAGGTAGCACAAATCGATAGCGAAAAATGCGACCCATTGTGCTACCATCATCTTATTCATGTAGTTTGAGGCTTATTTAAATGTCCATAACTACCCCTACCCACCCATGCCTACCCTTACCCTAAACTTACCCTTAAAACAATGCAAATATATTTTTGGTAGCACAATCTGATAGGTAGCATGTTTCGTCAGTACACCGGTTTTATGAAGGTAAATTTAAGACTTTTTAAAGACCCTTTTTAAGACAAAGTAAAAAAAATAAAAATAAAATAAATAAATTGAATGGAACAACAGATCAATATGGTCTCTGAAAATAAATGTCTTGTATTAGCAACACTTCAAAGTTAAAAAATACAGCTTCCAATAGATCTCCATTCATTTTACTAGATAGATAGATAGATCAAAATAAAGTGATTTGGTGATTAAATCAAGAAGCAATATTTGCCAATTAGAAAAATCAACTTCATTCAAGGGAAACCCCGTTTTCATTCCCTGTTTTTGTTTTAGGTTGAAACAAATAATTTAGTTCAGTTTTTCAAGACTTCATTTTACATTTGCAATAGTAAATGTATCTTGTTTGAAGATATTTGTTTAAATATTTGAATTTGAAAACGTAAATACTCAAGAAGCTTTTATTTTTTGCAAAGCATGCAACATTTAATTCCATGTCTTTTTGAATGTAAAACTTTCTGTTCTGATTTAAGACTTTCAAGGCCTTAAAGGGTTAGTTCACCCAAAAATTTAAATTAGGCTGCATTTTACTCACCCCCGAGGTATCCTAGGTGTATATGACTTTCTTCTTTCAGACGAATCCAGTTGGAGTTATATTAAAAATTGTCCTGGCTATTCCAAGCTCTATCATTGCAGTCAGCGGGTGTTGCAGTGCTTCAGTCCAAAAGAAGTGAAATAAAAAGCGCCCATCCATAAAAAAAGTATCTCACACAGCTCCAAGGGCTGAACAAAGACCTCCTTTAGCGAATCGATGCATTTTTGTAAGAAAATATCCGTAATAATCACTTGAATCTAGCTTGCGATCACTGTTGTACACGGAAGCAGCTCCGGGCGGATGACGTATGAGGTCGGCGTTGCGCATGCGCCGCTCAGAAGTGATGAACGCGGAAACGCAGCGGAGAGATCAAAACAAAACAACGGTCACTAATTAGTAAGATTTGTAAAGAAGAATGTCGGAAGATTTCGATACAAGTCGAGAGGAGACTGGTTTTCCTTTGCTAAAGTAAGGAAACTTTGCTTCCTTTGCTCCTGTAAACAAACGTTGGTTTTCACAAGACTCACCGGTGCATGTGCAACGCCGACCTCATACGTCATCCGCCCGGAACTGCTTCGGTTTACAACAGTGAGTGCAAGCTAGATTCAAGCGATTTATTACGTTTTGAATATGGATATTTTTCTTACAAAAACGCATCGATTCGCTACAGGAGGCCTTTGTTCACCCCCCGGATGGGCGCTTTTTATTTCACTTAAGAGATCAAAACAAAACAACGGTCACTAATTAGTACGATTTGTAAAGAAGAATGTCGGAAGATTTCGATACAAGCCGAGAGGAGACTGGTTTTCCTTTGCTAAAGTAAGGAAACTTTGCTTCCTTTGCTCCTGTAAACAAACGTTGGTTTTCACGAGACTCACCGGCGCATGCACAACGCCGACCTCATACGTCATCCTCCCGGAGCTGCTTCCGTGTAGGACTGTTGGTGCAAGCTAGATTAAAGTGATTATTACATTTTGAATATGGATATTTTTCTTACAAAAACGCATCGATTCGCTACAGGAGGCCTTTGTTCACCCCCCGGATGGGCGCTTTTTATTTCACTTATTTTGGACTGAAGCAATGCAACACCCGCTGACAGCAATGATAGAGCTTGAAAGATCAAAGACCATTTTTTATATAACTCAGACTGGATTCGTCTGAAAGAAGAAAGTCATATACACCTAGGATGCCTCAGGGGGTGAGTAAAACGCAGCCTAATTTTAATTTGTGGAAGTGCAAAATAAGTCTTTTTTTAAGACTCACAGAAACCCTGGTGGCAAATGTCAGTGTAACAAACAAAAATCAGTAATAGATTATAATTTCTTAAATACAAAATTATTTATACATTTACTTATACTGTATATAAGAAAATCTGGCATTGGGTACTATGAATATTGCAGGCGCTGTTAATAATTGCAAGTAGCTTTGAATAAATGCATCTGCTAAATGCATAAATGTAAACTACATAACTAATTATTATTATTTTGCCTATAAACAAGCTATTACCTAACTGGCAAGACAGTTACCATGTTGTGTATTGTCGGTGGAATAGTTCCCTCCTCCTCCTCCTCCTCCTCCTCCTCCTCTGCTCCATTGACGGCCTCTCCATCCTCCTCCTCCTCCTCTGCTCCATTGACGGCCTCTCCATCCTCTTCCTCCTCTCCATCCTCCTCCTCCTCCTCTTCCTCCTCTCCATCCTCCTCCTCTTCCTCTTCCTCCAGCTGAGGTGTTTCCACCCCGCCATGACCCTCGGGCAGAACCCTTACTGCTCATCCTTCACCCTCTGAAGTCTGAAATCAAACTCGCATAGCTATCAATACGGCACAGAAACAAGATCGTCCTGATAGAGATAAATAACAACAAAATCAATAAAGACCCTCTGTTTCTTTACAGAAACCCTCTCATCAGCAGCAACCGGTTACATAATCGACTTACACTTGTCTTAAAAGTTAGTCATCTTATTTATTTTCTTCAAGACTTGCCAACACTTTTTAAAGCCAGTTAGAAAAAGCTAGACTGGTCTAATCTGAATCAGAAAAGCAAGACGGATTAGTAACGTTACTTGAATAACTGCTAGCTGCTCGCACACAGTCTTAACATAGTGGCTATGTTTATGCAACCAGGGTTTATTATAATAACCGAACATGAATTATAGTATATGTAATAGTCTAATAATATAACAATTGAAAGACTAAAATAAATCTAAATCTGTGCTAGAATTAGTTAAATTAATGAAGCAGATACAGAATATCGCTGTCTGGACTATTTACCTGCCGTTTCTTACTTTACAACGGCTCGAGTTAACGTTAGAAGGATTAACACGAAAAAAACGACATGAACTGAGAGAAATTAACACATATTTTACTAAAGAAAGATATTTTAACCGATCTTACTAACAGAAGTACTTACCACAGCCACCGTTTGTTTACCTCCTCAGTCAGTGACGTCCGGCGAGGCTTCAAGTTTGGCGCTAATATGACGCCACTTCCGTACATGCGCAGAGCCGAGAACATCGAGTAAAGGTTTTTATTTATTTATTTATTTTTATTGAAAACATCGATTTATTACAATGCAATATAGCCTTTAGCAATGACCAAGAACAAAAAAAACCTGTTACGAGGGATTTATAATAATAACAAGATAAAACAACATAAAATAAGAGTAAATTACAATAATAATTATCAAAAACTAAATAAGAGTAAAGATTATTATTATATTTTCGTGTTTGTTTGTTTAGCTTACTTTACTTAGCTACATTTAAATGCCATTTAATTTTAATAAATGCATGTTATGATAATACATTGCTTTCCAAATGTATGTATACGTGTTTTTACCCATTTGTTTATTTTTTATACTATTTTTTTATTTGTTAATTTATGTATTATATCATTTAAATATGATATTCATGTCTATTATGGCCTATATACATTTTCGCAATTTAAATATTTCTGTATTTATTCATTTTCGTGCGTTTCTTGCTGCCTGTATGATAATAAGAGGGCGTGGCTACGCTTTCAACCAAATAGTGTCGCAGTTTCTCTCTGAAGAACGCGCATCATCAGCAGCAGCAGGAGGAAGAGGAGGAGGAGGAGGAGGAGGAAGAGGCGAGCATCCTTCATGATTCTGCATTAAAGCCGCACTCTATATCAACAAACCCCGGGCCTTCACGGATCCAGCCGCAGCTCTGCGTGAACACCACACACTCAATCATGGATAATTCCGGGAAAGAGAAGGAAGCCATGCAGCTGATGGCAGAGGCGGACAAAAAAGTCAAATCATCAGGTTCATTTCTCGGAGGGATGTTCGGGTGAGACAGCAGCGATGCTGCTCACGATCTGACATTCAAAGACATCCAATGTCCTGTAGTCTTTTCACATTGCATATGTCTGTGTCGTGTAAATATCATATTATTTGTCTATTCTTTACCATACAACGTATACAAATGAGTATCCATCCATGCGTTTCTCAGTATCTCCAATGTCAAATATTTCCGTGATGCGACATGCACAATGCAATGCAACTGCTCTGTGCTTTATGCACAGGGGCTTATTATTGCACTATATTGATTTCGAAATGGCATTAAATCAGAAATGTTGATGTTTTCACAGGGGAAATCATAAGGTTGAGGATGCATGTGAAATGTATGCCAGAGCTGCCAACATGTTCAAGATGGCCAAAAACTGGAGTGGTATGCATAAGTCAATTCATGTTTATGAATACTTCATTTAATGCTTAATATTTAGTTATGCGGTTGGGCTGTTGCAACATATTCAGTTAAAAGCTTCATTCAAATGATCAAAGTGTCGCTGGCCGTCTTTGTGTTTTAACTGCATTACACTTGTATTGTCATCATTGTGCTTTGATTCGTATTGAATCTATTTTAAGCATTCACTCTGCCTCTGTGCCATTATTGGCATTGATCTAAAGACTGATGTGTTTTGCTGCTGTAGCTGCAGGCAGTGCTTTCTGCCAAGCTGCAAGACTTCACATGCAGATGCAGAACAAACTGGACTCGGCCACCAGCTTCGTCGATGCTGGAAATGCTTATAAGAAGGCAGATCCTCAAGGTGAGAGAGTTTCTTTAATCGCTGCAAAAAAACAAAACAATAACAATGTGATCCATTTTTGTGTTTTAATCAGGGTTATTATTGTTAACAAAAATAAAAAAAAATAAAAAAATGTGTGTATATATATATATATATATATATATATAT